CCCCCTCTGTTCATCACCCCCTTCACACCCCCTCACCCCCTTCACACACCATCACCCCCTTCAACCCCTCACTCCCTCTCCCAACATCCCCTCACCCCCTTCACATACCATCACCCCCTTCACATACCATCACCCCCTCTGTCCATCTGTTCATCACCCCTTCACCACCCTTCACATACCATCTCCCCAACACCCCCTCTGTCCATCTGTCCATCACCCCCTTCACACACCATCACCCCCTTCAACCCTCACCCCTTCACACCCCATCACCCCTCCCCCAACACCCCTTTCACCCCCTCCACTCCCTCCACATACCATCATCCCCCTGTCCATCTGTCCAACACCCCCTCACCCCCTTCACACACCATCACCCCCTTGTTCCAATAGCCCATCATCCCCTCACCCCCCTTCACACACCATCACCCCCTCGCCCCAACAACCCCTCGCCCCAACAACCCCTCACCCATCACTCCATCACACCCCATCATCCCATCACCCCCCTCACCCCCTTCAGACCCCCTCACCCCCTTCAGACCCCCTCACCCCAACAGCCCCTCACCCCAACAGCCCCTCACCCCATCACACCTCTTCACCCCCGTCACACCCACTAACCCCTCTCCCCATCACCCCTACCCCCAATCCTCCTCCCATCACCCTCATCACCCCCCTCACCTCATCACCCCCGTCATCCCCTTCTCTCTCTGTCATCCCTTTCTCTCTTTATCTGTCACCCTCTCTGTCACCTCCCTTTCTCCCTATGTCAACCTCCTCTGTCACTCCCTCTCTCCATCTGTCACCCTTCTATCCGTCACCCCCTCTCTCTGTCAACACCCCCTTCTCTCTGTCTGTCACCCCGTCTGTCTGTCTGTCCCTTTCTCTCCCTTTCTGTCCCCTCCTCCAATCCTTCCCCCTCTCCACCAGCCGAGATAAACCAATTTCTCATTCATTGAGATTCAAACAGGATCTGAGATTTTATTTGCAGACACCTCTTTTCATTTAAGGCTTCTTCCTATTACTTTCCCGCGCTCGAGAGGGGGTTCTGATTTATGAATTTGTATTGTTGGACATTTTATCGAGGTGAAAGCAACCGCCCGATTTGTAATTTCTTAAAAACACGCAGCTGATCATCACTTGCACAGCACAGGGCCGGTGTGGTGAGCTCTGTGTAAACTGCAAAATTTAATCATCTTCATCACATTTAATGTCACATTGCTATCACAAGACCGGCAAACGGAGACAAACCAGTGCCTGGCATTTTACTGTCAACAGTGGGGGGGGGGTGATTCTGTCACCCCTGGGGCAAAGGTGCCGGGGAATTAATGTTTGCTTCAACCTTCCTCAGTGTCTCCCCCTCTCTCCCCTGTTTACCATCAAATAGAAAGAAGCTACTTTGAGGATTTGGAAAGGGGTTGCTGCAATTGTTACCAGAGCTAATTGGAGAAGGGGTCATTTCTGACCCAGCATCCGGACCGGTTTTCGCGCAGTCCGTACACTTTTGCAACAAAAAAAAAACCAAAGTTGCGGACGGTGAGAATCTGCCACAGCGTGGTGATCGTGGTCATTCTGTCTGGAGTGGATGCTGGTGTTGGGAGCTGGGATCTCAAGGCTGTATTCCTGGGCTGGCTCTAACCCAGATTGTGAATGTTGTTGTTGGTTCAGCAACTGTGTGCAGCCCTTG